TTGACTAGCATGCACAAGCTCCCGGGCGGGGTTCCGTTCCCAGGACTGAATAGAATGGGTGAAAGAGGCATGCTTGTAAGCCCAGCACTAGGGGGATAAAGGCAGGAGGATCAGGAGTTCTTGGCTACATAGTGAGTTAAAGGTTGTCTAGGGGTATATAAGACCCTGGATTAAACAAACATAAACAAAGTCCACAGGCTACTGAAAAGCATCAGCAAGTAAAGATGCTGCCACCAAGCCTAATGACCTAGAGACTTTGATGCCCAGGACCCACATAGTGGAAGGCAAGAGCCAACTCTTGCAAGTCGTCCTTTGATGTCCACACACATGGCATGCAGGCACACCCCAACTCATGCACACAGAACAAATAAAATGAAAAAAAATCCCAATTAAAAAATTACACAAATAATCACAGAAAAAAATCCAGATAGTAACATCGACAAGTAGAAGGAATCACACATCTTCCCAACACAGAAGTGTTACACAAAGACCCACATGTTTACCCAAACTAGTAACATCAGAATACACAGACTCATGCATGAAAACACACACACACACACACACACACACACACACACACACACACAGAAAGGATCATAAAGTAATAAGCCAAATGTGTTGGGGTGGCCCTGTTATCCTAGCACTTAAGAGGTGTAGGCAGAGGGATCAAAGTTGAAGGTCATCCTTGGCTACATGGTGAGTTTGAGGCTAGCCTGGCCTATAACAGCCCTGTCTCACTCTCCACAAGCAAGGAATATCAGCTATGCAGTACACCCACAACCTCCAAATCGACCCCATAGATGAGTCAACACACATCTCTCTGGTGCCTTCCAAGGCGAAGTCTTTACTGTGGTTTTGGAGACTTTTGTGGGTTTCTGAGCCAAGCATGGCTGAGCCATGGCATTCCCTGTCTCTTAGCTCAGGACAGTTCCTTCAACAGAGGGCCCATAACACCTGTGAGGGGGGAGGGGACTCAAGGGAGCACCTGGGCAGGCCACCTCTTGACAAGACAAATTGAGTAGTGCTTTCCAGAGAGGGGTGAATAGGGTTGAGAGGGGAAGCTTTTCCCGAGGAAGACCACCAGTAGCACCACTGTGGAAGGAGATCTGGGCTAATGGAAGATGCATAGCTGGCAGGAGACATCGGAGGGGTCCCGCCCTCTTTCCCCACCTGAAGATATGCAGATAGGGCTGTGCGTGTGTGCCTACGGCTGGATTATGGATCCTCTAGCGAGGGGAGGGAACCTCTGGTCCCTATCACCTGGCGTAAAGGTTAATTGGATGCCTGAAGTCTTGGGGCAGCGTGTGAAAGAAGTTCTAGGGTAGAGAATTTTTAGGGCCCTGAGACTGGAAGGGCTTGAGTGTGAAGTGCATGAGCAGGAGGATCTGGGATGGGGAGACTTGAAAGTTAAGGAGAGAAAGTTAAGGAAAGAGACAAGTTCAAAGAGGGCTGGAAAGCCTAGCACGGAGCTAGAAGGATTAGATTTGGACAGAGGGAGTAAAGGGGTGTGAGATCTGGATCAAGGGAATCTACAGGATGAGTTCTAGATTCTACAGCAAGAAACATCGGGAGGCTGCACTCTAGAACTCAAAGAAGTAGGATCAGAAGCCACAGGCAATTGGAAATGAGGCCTAGAACCCCGGTGATTCACGAAGTAGTGACAGAATGAGAAAAGAGCCCAGGGCAGCGGGTGTGTCTCAGTTGGTAGCGTGCTGGCTTGTCATGTGCAAAGTTGGGTTTCATTCCTGGCATCACATAAAGTGAGCATGCTGGTGCACATTTGCAATCCCAGCATTTGAGAGGTGGAGGGCAGAGGGTCACAGGTTCAAGGTCACCCTTGGCAACTTAGTGACTTGGAGGCTAGCCTGGTCTACCAGAGAACCTGCCACCACCACCCTCAGTAAAGTCCCCCAAATTAAGTTCTAAAACCCACAGGGATTTTAGGGTTAAAATCTAGAATTAGAAGGAGTTGAGGTTCTAAGGTTTGGAACTAGAGAAATAAGAGAAATATGTAAGTCAAGACATATCAGCTGATATTTTCAAGCTCTGTTCTAGATTCAGGGTACTTTGAATCATAAGATCTGAAGCAAGCGGAACTTGGCAGTTGTGAGGTGTAGAACCAAAGGAATTCATGGGACAAGATCTAGAAGCAGAAGACATTTACAGAGGCTGGGTGTAGCTCAGTTTGTAGAGTACTTGCCTCGCATGCATGAGGCTCTGGGTTCAATTTCCAGCACCATATAAAAATCTGCATACCTGTAGTCCCAGCGCTTGAGAGTTGGGTGAAAGGGTATAATGTGTTTAAGATCATCTTTGACTACATAACAATTTCATGGTCAATGAGTATGAGACAATGTCTCAAAACAGTAACACAATCCAGAAGATGGGTTTTTGTTGTTGTTGTTTGAGACACAGTTTCTCTGTGTAGCTCTGGCTGTCTTAGAATTTGCTCTGTAGACCTGCTGGCTTTGAACTTAGAGAACTGCCTGCTTCTACCTCCGAGAGAACAGAGGATGCTGGAAGTTGTGAGGTCTAGAGTTTGCATAGTCTAGAACATGGGTATGATGGAAGTGATTAAATCTAGAACCCGAAAGAATGGGTACATGGTATCTGGCCCCAGAAGTGCCAGATCCACGCTCAAGACACAAAACTCAGTTTACCCCTCCTTACTGAGGAAAAGCAGTTCTTAAATTCTCGAGTGCAGACACCTCAAGAGCAATATGCTAGACATCCTGAGGCTTAGGACCAAAATGATCTAGAAATGAAGTCTGTATTTGAAACAAAATATCTTACAGATCAGGAAGGCTGGAACCAATAGGAAGCCTGGAGTTGTGGGATCTAGAAACAAGAGGGAATCATCAATAATAAGATCAGCTGGGCGCAGTCCCAAAGAACTGTATTTCCCAGCTACTTGGGAAGATGAGGCAGGAGACCATGAGTTCAGGCCTGCCTAGGTTTACAGAGTTAAGTTCCAGGTTAGTCTGTGCAATCAATGAAGATCCTGTCTCAAAATAAGAAATAAGAAAGGGCTGGGAATCTAGCTCAGTGGTAGAGTCTGTGCTTAGCATGTACAAGGCCCTGGCTTTAATCCTCTGTGCCACATACACAGAGTCTGCAATGACAGGGAGCAGAGGGTGTGAGAACCGGAGGAAATTACAGAATGAAGTTTGAAGCCAAAGGATTCTGGGGGTTGTAGGCTTTAGAGGCAAAGAACCTCATAGATTGTATCATTCAAATCCCACTCTAAAACAGTAGAATTGGGTGTTGAGAACCAGCCCAAGAAAGTGCTGGAGACCATGAAATCTGGACTTAGAAGTGTTATAGAAACTAAGGTCTGTAGCATACCACTGGAATTGAAGGAGTCTAGAGCCAGGGGTAGGTTAATAATAGCACAGTCTAGAACCAGGAAAGGCCAGAGAAGGCTAGTGGTCATACAGTTTGGAACCATTGAAGACCAAAGGCAGCATAGCCTAGAACCAAAGAAGGTCAAAGGCTGTATAGTCTAGAATAGTGGTTCTCAATCTGTAGGTTGCAACCCCTTTGGGCATTACATATCAGATATCCTGCATATCAGATATTTACATTATGATTCATATTAGAAGCAAAGTTACAATTATGAAGTAGCAACAAAATAATTTTATGGTTGGGAGTCATCACACATGAGGAGCTGTATTAAAGGGTTGCAGCATTAGGAAGGTTGAGAACCGCTGGTCTAGAACCATAGAAGGTCACAAAGCCTATGGTCTAGAATCAGAGAAAAGGCCAGAAGAGTGGCATGGTCTAGAACCACAGCAGGGTCATAAGGCATGCAGTCTAGAATCAGGTAAAAGACTGGAGCATGTACAGACTCAGAGAGGGTCAGAGGTTGAACAGTCTAGAACCAAAGAAGGTAGGAATGACACAGTTTAGAACCATGGAGGCCAGAGACCACGGTGTCTAGAACAAGGGAAGGCCAGAGGTCATAAGCCTAGAACAAGAGGAGACCATTGGTGGTACAGTCTAGAGGCAAGGAACGTCACAGGCCTCATAGTCTAGAAACAGAAGAAGATGAGAGGTATGGAGTTGAAGAGCCAGGGAAAAGCCATGGTTTGTATGTTTTAGAACCAGGAAGTAGAAAGTCTAGAACCAGAGAGCCCACAGGCCTCTAGAACCAGGAAAGTGCCAAGGGCATAAAATCAAGAACCAACAAAGACCAGGAGCTGCATACAAGGCCCTGGGTCTTGTTGTCCAGAATCAGGAAAGAGAGAAAGTGGTATAGCCTAGGACCAGGGAAGGGCAAAGGTTGTGTGGTCTAAAAACTGTGAAGGTATAAGTCAACTATTTTAGATATGGAGAAGGTCAGAGATTCCGGGTCTGTTGAGTAGAGGAAGTTGCTGGCTAAAATTGGAAGACTGCAAAGGAAGTCATTATTTAGGCAAGGTTGGGGCTCACAGGAAGTCAGGACCAGAAAGGGCAAGCAGAACTAAGAGGCAGCTTGGGAGGTGAGGTCTGGTCTAAAGTCTACCCACATTTGTCCCCAAGGAAGGGAAAGACCTGCATTGCTGTGGGCCCTGTGCAATGCAGAGTGACTGAAGGCCTTGTTGTGAAATGGACAAAGTGATAGAAGAGGGACAGGGAAAAAAAATGTGATTACGGTTGTCCAAGCTCTATGAGGCCAGGGTCAGAGACAGATCCCTGACTTTCCCAACCCCTCAGTCTCCCAAATAAGGCAAAGAGAGTCAGAGGAAGGGGCTGTGAGGTAACCAGCTATGGAGAACCCCAAAGGAAGTCCTGAGAGGAGGTGGAGGGGGTCACACACCCCCTCCCAGAGGTCACTGAGCTGAGAGCACCGAAGAAGCCTCCAACTGGGTGAAGGCAGAGGGTTGGGGGGCTGAGGTAGGACTGAGGCTAGCTGGGGGGCACTCAGAGGAGAGAGGCCCCATCCTGGCTGTGGGCTGTAGGTGTGGAGTGTGGCTGAGTCCTTTGTGGGATAGAAGAAGGAGGCTGAGAGGAGGGCTGACTTAGCGGGCCTGGGCCAAGCCTGCTGCTGCTGGGAAGTGGTTCCTGGGCTGCACAGCTTCCTCATGCTGGTAGAGAGAGAGCGGCGAGGGTGCTGGGCCTGCAGAAAAACCAGGAGAGAGTTAGCACCTACCATACATGCACTTGCATCTAAAAGCAGGAAGGCAGGCTGGCAGGATGGTGCAGTGGGTATAGTGCTCGCTGCAAACCCTGACAACCTGAGTTCCAGCCACAGCCCACCCGAGGCTGCAAGTGAAGCCAAAGCTTTTGGTAGCTGCAGGGGAAGATCACCATAGAAAAACAAACAAGCCAGAAAGGCTGCAGAGCCAGCACTGCCCCGCCCTGCAGCCACAAGGGGAGGTGCTTGTTTCTTGAGCACATACTACATAACAGTTCTTGGGTAAATTCTGCCTGTGCAGCATCTCCACAGTTCATTCCTCCAAACAGGTCCTCCAGGTCAGAAATGTAGTCACGGGTCGCCACTGGTAGATAGGGGAGCTGAGGCTTCACAAGCAGCCGTCCCAAAGCCATGTGGCTGTGAGCTGCCTTGTGGAGTTACTTCAACTTGGTCAAGCTCTAAAGTGGAGCCTTATCTGGGTCCAGGAGACCTTGGCTTCCAACCCAAGGTAAGTTCTTACCCTCCTTAGGGTCCCTCTTTCTCTCCACAGGGCTCAAGAGAAGAGGAAAGGGTTGTATTTGATAGTAGGAAACCTTACTCGAGAAATGCCTCCATAAGATTGGGTTGTAGGCAAACCTGTATGGCATTTTCTCAATTAGTGATTGATGGAGAAGAGTAGTCCAGCTTATTGTAGGTGGCACCATTCCTGGGCTGCTTTCTGTAAGAAAGCAGGCTGAGCAAGTCAGGGGAAGCAAGCCAATAAGCAGCACCTCTCCAAGGCCTCTGCATCAGCTCCTGCCTCCAGGTTTTTCCCTGCTTAAGTTTCTGTCCTGACTTCCTTCGGTGATGAGAAATAAATCCTTTCCTCTAGTTTGCTTTTGGTCACAGTGTTTCAACACAGAAAAAAAAAAAAATCCTAACTAACTCACCCTCCTTCACCCTCTGCTACGGTGGTTCCATCCTTCTCTCAAGTGTTTATAGAACCATAAGAGAAAAAGAGGCCTGAAGTTTCTATATGCTCAGGCTGTATGACTCACCCAAGGGCTCACGGGAATCCAGGAGTAGGGGATCCAACTGGTTCCCTGGGAGTTGTCGACCTTGCAGAAGGAAACTCTGGGGAGTTAGGGAGACAGAGTTGTCATCATCACTACCCTCAGGATGCAGTATCACCATCACCATTAATGTCAGTAGCAGTGCCATGACCGTCATCATCAGCTTCATACAGCCATTAGCATCATCATCCCGTCAACTCTATCAGCATATCAACACTATCATCAGCACCAACACCACCATCAGCAGCATCAACACTATCACGATTATTAGCATCAACATCATCAGCATCCTTAACATCATTAGCTCCGTCACCACCACGAACATCATCATCGCGTTTCCAACAGGGCAGCACGGTGCCATGGTTAACTGGAGTGTGGTGAGTACTAGCCATTGGAGAGACTTTCGGGATATCCTCTGGGTGGTCCTTCCTCCTTTCTTTGCCTCTGTGCCCCAGGAGGCTTACCACATTGCTGTGTAATTTTGCCCTGAATTTTCCTGCTGGATTCAGCAAACGGGCCACCCTAGCAGGTGGGAAGAGGAAGGTAAAGCTTGAGCTGCTTCCCCTGGGGTCTGCTGTGAGTTGGCTGTGGGACACCCAGGAAGGTGTCAGCCCTTAATGGCCAGAGGTGGTGCTACAGCAGCTCTCTGACTGCATATACCGCACTCACGCCATTGGTCCTGTCACCAAGTTCTTCCCAGCACCCCCTCTAAGCCTGCCATCTAGACTGACTGATAATGCTGTTTCCCTTCTCTCGTGCAATCGTCTCACCATAACGATATTTATTACCATAATAAATACTATAATAAACACTATTGAAGTATGCTTGTGAAGATTAAATAAGCTAATCTTGTGAGGTACACAGTGAAGCCAGGATCTGCACACAGTAAATAGGAGCTATGGATACTATTAGTCACACTCTTCACATTCAAAGTTTTTGAGGGCTGTGGAGCTGAGAAGTCCTGTGGGAGACAGAGAGAGGCACTGCGGGAGTCATACAAACCAGGGTGGCTTTAAGAAATAAACCAGACTTTACTATTGTGCACAATAGAGTTCTTTTCTCGTGTTTTCTTTTGTTTGTTTTGTTTTGTTTTGTTTTGTTTTGTTTTGTTTTGAGACAGGCTAACCTCAGTCTGCTAACCCCCGCCCCCGCCTTGCCTTAGCCTCTCTAGGGCTGGGGTTATGGCCATGGGCCCCACACTTGGCACTAGTGTTTACTCTTTAAACTCTACAGAGGTACTCCAGATCTGAGGCTGTTCTCATTTTGGAGGGGGGACCATGGGGACAGAGAAGATTCCTCCTCATCCTCACTCCTCTTGACCTACATTATATCTCTTCTTGGCACTAGCCATGAATTTGCAAAGTCATTTCATGCCTATTAGCAGCTCTAGAGGATCAAGGTCCTGTCTCCAGCTGGACCACTGATCTTCCATCTGACCTTCAGCCAGCCCCTGGCTCTCTCTGGTTTCCCATCTATAAAATAGGAGGTTTAAAATCTGCTAGGTTCAGAGGGTTGGAGAGCCCCACCTTTCCCCCGCCACAACCCCAAGTCTCTGAATCTACCAGGCTGAGAGGAGGTAGCAGGAAGTTTCCAGGTTCTAGTCTGGGGGACCGCTTGGGAGGCTTGGTTTCCAGCAGCTCCACCCCTTTGTCCTCTGAGCTCTGGGCCAAGGCCCTGTAGAGAGACAGGCAAGACTCTCACAATACGGCAAACCCAGGCAAGGGCAGGTACCTGTGTTGGAGGTCGATGCCCTTCCCACACAACTACATATCCTTTTACATGGATGGTGCCCCATCCACCCACCCACCCCACCAGGCATCCTCTCACTCATCTCCATGGGGACCCATCAGTTCCCACACAAGGAACCTCATCTACCTCTTCTCCTCACTCCTGAATATCCATTCATCCATCTACCCACTTCATTCCCCACCCACTCACTCATTCTATTCATCCATCCATCCACTCAACCATCTATCCACTCATTCATTCATGAATACATTTATTCACTCACTCATTCACCTGTCATTCTATCCTCCTATTCATCTGGTGATCCATCTATATTTCTATTCATCTAATGATTAATATACCCTCTGAAGATCCACCTGGCCATCCATTCATCTGCCCACTGAGCTTTCCATTTATTCTTCTATCCACCGACCTATTCATCCATCTAACTACCCATTCCCCTTCCAGTCCCCAATCCATTCATCTATTAGTATTTTTTTTATCTACCCATTTATCCATTTACCTACCCATTCACTCATTCCCCCCCCCATCACTCTAGCTACCCATCTATCATCCACCTCCCCACATTGGCAATAGAGCTCAGCACTAGAGAACCTGCCTAGAACCCATCAGTGAGGGGGCTGGGAGTATGGCTCAGTAGAGTTCCCTAGTGAGGGGCTGAATTAATGCGACCTTAAACATGTGACTGAATGTCTCTGGGCTGGTGGATTCTAGCTGAGCACTCTACCATTAAACCACACCCACAAAGCCTCATTGGGGATTCTAGACAAGTGCCCTACCACTGAGCCACACCACCAGCCCCTCACTGGGGGATTCTAGGCAGGGGCTTGGATTCTAGGTGAGTTCTCTACTGTGGAGCTATATTCCCAGCCCCAATTTCTTCTCATTATAACAAAACCAGTCACTAAGTCATATGTAAATGTGTCCTAATGATTGATTCCTTGATGCCGTGGGATTTGGGTAAATGGTGAGAACAGCGGAGGGGGCTCCAGTATGGAGTACAGTCAGTTAAGGACTACAGAGGTTAGAATTAACCTGCCACATGCTGGGAGCATGGAGGGACTGACTGGAGAGATGCAGACAGGAAGCATGTCGAGGGATGGGGCTGATGTGGGGGAGTGAGCGGGGACATTCTCTATGCCTGTGTTCTGTCCCTCTTTCACTGTGGCTCACCTCTTCCGAGTTGCAGGCATCAGGGAGGCTGAGGAGGGCTCCCCCCTGGAGGGGCTGGAACAGTTCAGTCGCGGGTCACTCCCCCATCGGGGCAGCAGGGAGGGCTCAGGGCTGGGGGGCGACAGGCCATGGAAACTCCGAGCGCGAGGCCTGCGGGCCACTCCAGGAGGTCTGCGGTGGGCTCTGGGCAATTGCTCGCTGGAGTTGAGCTGGAAGTCATCATCCATGGAGATATAGGGAGCCAGCATCTCCAAGTCCAGAGTGTCAGGGTCCTGTAAGGGCGCAGGAGGGAGTTTACAGCAGGACCCCTGGCCTGGAGGGTCCTAGGCTAGGTTCTGGGTGCTAACCCTTCTGAAGAATTCACTTGAAGAGTGAAGCTTTTCCTTATCTCTCAAATGGGTACAAAGACTGTGGTGGTCAGTTCTCAAGGTGCTTCCAGGATTCTCTTGGGGTACATGCCCCTTCCATAGAGATCAAGTGGTCTGGGTGTAAGAGGACATGATTCTGTGTGTCCTTCACATTTAGCTGTAAGGCATGCTGACTGTGATAGCTGTCATTTGTGTCACTGTCTTTGCCCGTCTCTTTGTGTCTTTGTGTTTTTGACCATGTCTCCCCAGCTCTGCCCATCTCTGTCTTTCTAACTCTTCCTGTCTCTGTATCTATTTTTTTGTCTGTCTCTCACTGTCTGTTGCTGTGTCTATCTCTCCCCTTTCTGTGTGTCTCTTTCTCCCCCTCTTCATCTTTGTCTCTTAACTCATCTCTTTGTCTTCTTTTTTTTTTCTTCTTCTTCTTCTTTTGGTGACAGGGTTTCTCTGTGTAGTCTTGGTTGTCCTGTGTAGTCTAGGCTGGCCTCAAACTCACAGTGACCCACCTGCCTCTGCCTCCCTGAGTGGTAGGATTAAAGGTGTGTGCCACTATTCCTAGGCCTGTCTCTCTCTTTATGTTTCCCTCTGTGCTCATTTGTCTTCCTCATCCCCAGTCAATGAAACAATGGTCCATCCATCCATCCATCCATCCATCCATCCATCCATCTACCACACAAACATCCATCCACCCATCTACCCTTCCATCTATCCATGCATCCATCTTTGCCATCACCCTTTTGTAAAGCCAGATAAGCTGACCCCTCCATGCCAGTCTCACCTGAGCAGTATCTAGATCTGTCTCCACAGTCTTGTTTTTCTGGGCAGTAGAGAGTCTGTGTGCTTTTTCCAAGCCCACAAGCAACTGATCTGGGAGATCAGCCTGGAGGGAAAAAGAGCAGAGACACTGAGTCTGAGGAGGAGCTGACAGTAAGAGCTCAGGGTGAAGGTAGGGCTCTTCAGCTGGAGCTTCACAGGGTCAAATAGTAATGCAAACAAAGGTGGTTTTGTTAGTTTTCTTGCTTGTTTTTGTTTTGAGACATTATCTCATATAGTTCAAGGTGGCCCTGAATTCACAATGTAGCTGAGGATGATTTAGAACTTTGGATCTTCCTGGCTCCAGGTCCCAAATTTTGGGATTTCAGATGTGTCCCTTCATTCTAAGCTCGCTCTATCTATCTATCTATCTATCTATCTATCTATCTATCTATCTATTATTTTAAGGCAGGGTCTGTGATGGTTAGCTTAATTATCAGCTTGCCACAAGCTAGAATCACCTCGGGAGAGGGACTGTTACACTGAGTTGGCCTGTGGGTATGTCTGTGGGTCATAGTCTTAGGTTAACCGAGGTAGGGGATGGAGATATTGCTTGGTAGTTAAGAAAATTCGTAGCTCTTCCAGAGGATCCAGGTTTGAGTCCTAGTACCCATATGGTGGATCAAAACCATCCGTAACTCCAGTTCTGAGTGAAATGATGCCCTCTTCCAACTGCCACAGGAACAAGGCAAACATGAGGTGCACATACATACATACAGGCAGATAACACAGACACGCACACACACGCACACACACAGATGCAGCCCACTGTGGGTGACCACCATTCCTTAGGGGTCCTGAACTGTAAAATGGAGGCATGATGCTGAGCACAAGAGGGCACACATTCACTTATTTCTCTCTGCCCCGAGGATGGATGTGATACGACCTGTTGTCTCAAGCTCTTGTCATTGTGAATTCCCTGCAATGATAAAATAAAACCTGGAATTGCAAGGCAAAATAAATCTTTTTCTCCTAAGTTGCTTTTTCGAGTGTGTGCACACACTCAGAGGAGTGGAGGTGCCATGGAGTCCAGAAGAGGGTGCTGTTGGAAACTCTGGAGCTGGAATTACAGGTGGTTGTGAGCCATCCAGGGTGAATGCTGGGAACTGAACTCTCGTGCTCTGCAAGAGCAAGCACTCTTAACTACTGGGTCATCTCTCTAGGCCTCTTTGTCAGGATAGTTTGTCACAGCAACAAAAATTAAACTGGAACGGGGTCTCATTTCAGGCTGGTCTGGAACTCACTATATAGCTAAGGCTGGCCTTGAACTCTTACTGCTTCAGCCTCCCAAATGTGGGTATTGCAGGTGTGCACCTCCATGCCTGGCTGTTTGGTTTTTGAGACAAGGTTTTATTGTGTAGCTTAGGCTGGCCTTAAACTCAGTCTTCCTGCCTCAGCTTCCCAAGTACTGGGATCACAGATGTGAGCCACCATGCCTGTCTTGTAATCTATGTCTTAAAGAAAACCTATCTCATCCCTAAGACGGAGAATTGAGAACAGAAAAGGAAGGCTCAAGCCAGAGGCCCCAAGGAGCACAAGTTCTGTGTGCTCAGACGGGTGACACTGTTTACCGGAAGAGGACTTTGGGGTCTCCGTGCAGTTTGTGGGGTGCTAGGGGTGGCGACTATGGGAGGTCCATCCAGGATGGGTGCCATGAGGCGGCGCAGGTCTGGACTACAGAAACGGCGAGGGTCAGCAGCCAGGGAGGCCTCACTCAGGGCCGGAGGGTGCAGGAAGGCCAGGATCCGGGGAGCAGGAGGGTCTGCAGGATGAACAGAACACAGCACAGGTATACAGGGCTGAAGGCCTGATCCTCTTCTGCTGTGCTAAGCGTAGAGGATCATGGGGACATTTTCAATAGCACATCAGGATGGCCATTGAGTTTGCTGCTGGAGAAGAGTAGTCGAAGGGCCTCATTCTGCGCCACTCCATAGCCAGATTGATGTGAGGCCCTGGAGGGTCCTTGGGGGAAGGGCCCAAAGACTTCAAACAGCTTCTGGCCATTCAGTTCCTGTGTGTTGGAATTGTTGACATGACCCTACACCAATCCCCCATGCTTCCCACCCCTGGGAAGTTTGAGCTGCAAGGAACCACAGCAGGAGGAGAGGAAGGGGCAAGAAACTCAAGCAATCATCTCACTCCTGGACAGAAAGGGGGAGGGCTGGAAGGAAAAGCATTCTAAACAGAGGAACTGCATGTGTGAAGGCATAGAACGTAAAAGAGCGTGTGGCTTGCTGAGAGGAAGTCAGTGTGCTTGGGCTGGTGAGTGACAAAGGGAGAGAAGCAGCAGACAGGTCCACAGGGCCTGGCGAGCCGAGGTGAATGCTTTTGACTTTTCTTCTTAGGAGTCCTGAGGACACAATGGCCTTGATCCATACCTAGAGCGTTGCCAGGGATACCCTTCTGCGAGGAGGCACCCCGCTGTGGAGGTCTGCGGGTATGTTGCTCTGTCTGCTCCAGGGACAGCACCACTCCCGTCTCTTCTACCCGGCTGGGGGGAGGGGCGAGGCAGAAAGAAAAGTAGGAATCAGACAGGGTCCTTCCTTGTCCACCCACGTGCCCCAGGCAGCTGCTTCCATTGTCTTCCTACAGAGGCCATTTCACCCAGGAGCTGAAGGGAGTTTGCCAGGAAATAATTTCTCACACTGCTTTTTTCACCAGGATTTATTTTGAGATGAGTCTCATGTAGCCCAGGCTGGCCTCAGACTCATTATGTAGTCACGGATGACCTTGACCTTCTGATTCTCCTGTCTTCACCTCCAGAGTGCTGGGATTACCAGCACATGGCACCATGCTCAGTTTATGGGGCCTGAGGAAGGAACGCCAGGCTTCGGGCATGCTAGGTAAATGCTCTACCAACTGAACTACAGTCCTAGTCCCTCAGAAATGCTTTTGGTCCCAAACACTTAGGATAAGGGAGACTCAACATGTAATAGCATTCATTTGTTTATTTTTTTGTTTATTGTGCTGGGGATTGAACCCAGGACCTCATGCATGCTAGGCAAACTCTCCACTGAGTTACGTGCCTAGCTCCTGTAATAGTGTTGAAATGAAACTAAAAGCCTGGAGAGGTGGAGCCAACGTACATTCCAGTACTTGGGAGGCTGAGGTAAGAAGTTTGACAGTTACAGGTTGGCTTACGCTAACACTATGAGACCCTGCCTCAACAAGACAAAACAGAACAGAACTTGTTGACACTGCCTGTAATCTCAAGACTCAGGAGGCAGAGGCAAGGGGGTCAGGACTCAAGATCAGTCTGTTACATAGTGAAGTTGATGCTGGTCTATTGAAGACTGTGCCTTCAAAAAACTTAAAAAAAAACATATTCTGCATTACATTTCCAAATATGAAGAATTCATAGCTATATTTCTATGAATAAGCATTTATTTGAGAAGCTTCTATTCATAGACATCTCCATCCTCAAGGGAACAGTTTTATAAATACATCCTCCTTCTGTCCCCCGCACCTCCCATCCCACAGTCTCTGGCTCTGGAGTCAACTCAAATGCTGCCTAGGTAAATTGGCTTTGGGGGAGTGGGTCTGAGGTTGAGAACCATGCGTCCATTTGCATATCGTCAGCATAAGCATCCGATAGGGTGGGTCTGGTGCTCCCAGCAGCTCTTGGAGAAGTTAGGAGACTAACTGTCCTGGAGTCCTGTCAATTTAAGCTTTTATCCCCTTGAAGGCCAGGGGTGCACACAGTGACAGAGGCACACACTTGGTACACACAGACACAGAGGAATGCCTGTAGACACGTAAGTATCTATCTAGAGAAAGAGAGCAGGCACAAAAACCGCTACGCACTTAGTGTCATAAGCACACAGGCTACATGAGCTCATTCATTTATTCATCCTACCTACGCCTCTCGGTGCAGCATCGCTACGCTGAGTTTGATAACGAACCTCAGCTCTGCCATTTCTGAGCTGTGTGGCCTTAACCATGTGGCTGAAAGTCTCCGGACTAGCTGCTCTCGGAGGGATGCCAAGCAGGAGGTCGACCTCGGCTCCAGTCCTCACTGGGCCTCTCTGAGTGGGAGCTCTCATCCAGACGTTACTAATTTGAACTACTAAAGTGAAAGTATGCCGCCACATTAACATGTTGGCCGCACGGGGGGCCACTGCAGCCCCCACGCGCTGCTGAAGGGAATGAAGCACTGAGAAACAGTTTGTCAGTTCCTTAGAAAGTCAAAAGATATGGAAGCGTATGACCCGCCCATTTCACTCCTGAATGATTACACAGGAGAAATGGAAATGTGCACTCTCATAAAATCTCACTTGAGAATGTTTATATTGGCTGTTTGTATAATTCCCCCAAATAGGAAACAGCCCAAAGTCCCCAGGCCAGCACATGGATAAACAAACTTTGGTCCATTCACTCTCCAAAGACCCCTCGGTCAGCATGAGAAAGGAGCTGTTGTCTGGATTTAGGACCTCACATTTGGGTCTTGGACCTAGTGGTTCACGTCTGTAATCCCAGAACTCAGGAGCCCCAGGCAGGAGGACTCTGATGAGTTTGAGATCAGCCTGGGCTACATAGTGATTTCCAGGTTAGCTTGTAATTCAGAATGATACTTTGTCTCAGACAAACAAACACAAAAACAAAGAAAAGGGCTATTGGGATGGCTCCTGAGTAAACAGCTTGTTCTATGGCCCTGGTTCAACGCTTGGGTTCCCAGCTCATGTGGAAGGAGCACACAGCCTCCTCAGTTCTTAGACGGCAGACCCTCGCCATCTTGTCTGACTTCACATCCGTTTCAATTTAAATGAGTACTATAAGCCAGGTATCGTGGGATATGCCAGTAACCCCAGCACTGGAGACAGGAGGATCAGGAGTTCAAGGTTGGCTACAAAGTGAGTTTTGGCCCACATGAAACCCTATCTCAAAGTACCAATACATTCTTTAAAAAAAATTAGCATGTTTAATCCTAACATTCGGGAGGCAGAGGCAGGTAGATCTCTGTGAGTTTGAAAGCAGCCTGATCTACATGGAGTTCCAAGATAGCTGAGGCTACACAGTGAGATGCTGTCTCAAAACTTTTTATTATAAGCATGATTTTAAGATTTACTTGTGTGCTGCATCTGCGTGTTGCATCTGCAGGCCAGCAGAGGGCACCAGTGGCTGCTGGGAATTGAACCCAGGACCTCTGGAAGAGCAAGCACTGCTCTTAACCTCTGAGTCATCTCCCCAGGACCCTCCTCCCCAACATTATTTTATTTTTAATTAAAATTTAAAAGTAGCAGCCAGGTGATGATGGCACAAGCCTTTAATCCTGGCAGGCAGATCCCTGAGTTCAAGGCCAGCGTGGTCTACAGAGTAAGTTTCAGGACAGCCAGGGCTACAAAGAGAAACCCTGCCTCAAAAAACTAAAAAATATAACAAACACAAATAAATAAAAAATAGCACAAAAAGTACACATGCAGACACACATGTATATTCATATGACCATATGTGTTCCACGTACAGCACATACAAGCACACATATACACTTCATTATGCATACACAATACACAGGTCTGCCTGTGTGCAACACACAGACAGACAGACAGACGGACGTGGTCACCTTATACCTTTCTGCTCACCTGATCAGGAAGTGGACGCAGATGATACTTTCAGATTGGGGGCCCCGTCCCCCTGACACCACTGTAGCCTGAGTCTGAGTCCACAGATAGCCTCCGGTCCGGGCCAGGAAGCGATACTGCCCCGTTACTGCCTGGCCCTTGCTCAGCACTGGGGAGAGGGTGGGTAGTGGTCAGGGTCACAGCAGGGACACCTTGGGACAGAAAGCTCAGGAAGCTGGAATTAGAATAGGAGGTCACAGAAGATAAAAGGTTCTGTGGACTGTGCAGCCCTAGCATTTGGGGTTCAGGGAGAGACAGGAGTCCCACAAAGCTCTGGGCTTTCTGTCCAAGAAATCAGCAATTGCTGTCAGCTGGGGCCACGCAGCAGCTGGCTCTGGCCTGGGGATATGTTGGTCACGTACAAGTGTGGATGCTCCTGCTGACTGCATCAGAGTCCAACGCGTGGATATATTCGTAGGCAGAGCAGCCAATCAGGTCATCGGGACTGTAGCCAGCAACTTCTGCGATCCTGGAGTAAAATGGAGAGCAACTGATCAAGACTGACCAAGCTGCAGATGGAGGAAAGGGTCAGGCACCATAGACAACACCAGCAGGATGAGAGACGGGCAGCAACCGAAGGGCGAGGGGAGGGTAAGAAACAGAAAGGGAGGAGTGTGGCGACTTAAACCTGCAATCAGGGCACTCAGGAGGGTTGTGAATTTGAGGCTTGGGATACAGCAAGGCTCTAGGTAAAAAATCCAAGGGCTCAGGGCATGGCACACACACACACACACACACACACACACACACACACACACACACAC